TTAGGACCTTGAAGGTATACAATAAGGCTACACTTTTGATTTTAGAAAACTGACATTGAAACAGAAATGAAAGGGAAAAAAATTATTGTTAAAAGTCATTTTTTTAAATTTATTTAAAGGCAACTGTAACTTTGCAGACAGCAAGGCAATTTTTAAGCATGATCACTGTTAGCAGTTTTAGTAAAGCTAATACTTGCAAACTGAAAAATTCCAGGCAATCATAAGATGGTGGTATAAAGAAAAATAAATGTTTTAATACCCCTTAGTGGTTGTCTGGATTTCTGTAACTAAAGAAAATGAACTAAGGAAAGAGGATGTGGAAGTTACTCAGACAAAGTAGCAAAATGCAATAATGAAGTGAAAGAGGCAATGCATAAGAGAAAATGTATATTAGAAAATAATTTCTACAAAAGATGAAATGAGAGACTGTATGTGGAAGAAAAAGTTCTTTATAAACTTAACAGTTAAGTTGTAAGTGATTAAAAAACAGCAAGACAGTGGGGAAACATTAAAAAAATTGGATTTTAATGGAAACAAAGTTGTTTGAAAGTGAATTAAGAAAATTAAATAAGAAGCTTCCAGCAGAGTGAAGTAAAAATACCAATACCGTGTTTCCCCAAAATTAAGACAGGGTCTTATTTTCTTTTGACAGCTCCCCGAAATTAGCACTTGGCCTTATTTTGGGAAAGGTCCTATTATTTTTGAGGTGTAGGAAGCGTCGAGCATGGTCACCTCATGGTTGCTGCTGTGTTGCAATATTTTTGGAGAAGGCTTATTTTCAAGAGAGGGCTTATTTTAGTGCATGCGCTCAAAAGCCCAATTGGGCTTATTATCTGGCGAGGTCTTACTTTCAGGAGTAATAATTTTAGAAATCAATTTTGATCAAAACTAAAAGGTGAAATAAACCCTATGAATGTTAGTGTGAAGAACAAAAGCTTGATTAAAAACTGAAAAAATGCTATTACTTTTTCTAAATAGAGAAAAAGGTAAGAGTGAATGCCTAAACTACAGGAGGTAGAAAGGTGTTTGGCAAAATTCTGATTAATGTGTATGAGAAGAGGCCATAAGCAGAGGTTGAGCAGGGAGGTGTGCTGAATAGTTTTTGCTCTTCAGCAGATTACTTAGAGTTATATAAATGTGAAAAAGTTTATTGTATGTTTGTTTATTTAGGAAAGGATGTGATATGGCATGAATTATGAGGTAATTTGAGCAATTATGGGATTTAAGGTTGATTGCTAAATGTAATGAGAGGGATAGATAATCAAAATAAAGAATTCATAAGAATAGATTAATGCTCAAGTGAATGATTCAACATAAGATAGAATGGGTGATGTCCATTCACTGCTTACTGAGTTTACAGATAAATACGTAAGGCGTCTTTGTGGTGATTTTAAAGATATCTTGGTTGGGTAGTTAGCTTCAATACAGATAATACAAACTGGCTGAAAATGGAACAGCTTGCAGTGAAAATAGAATGTGCAACACAACAAGCATGCATGTGGAAATTAATGTATCAAAGATCAAAGTAGTTGAGTTTGGCAGGGAAAATAGAAGAAAAGATTGCAAAGGATACATTTATAGGAAAAAGATAGAGCAAGTAATGAGTGGAAAAATTTTAAGATGTGTAATAGGGAATATAAAGGTCGTTAGTAGCTTGTGATATCTTGTGAAGACTGAATATTGAACGAATGAAAATGGTCTTGTGTAAGAACATGTTTCTGCCCACTTTGTTATATGGTAGTGAGTTCAATATGTCATTAAAAAAAAGTTGAATGCAGTGAGAATGTAAGTAGCAGATAGTAAAACAAAAAGAAACAGAATGAAAAATATATGCGCCCTCAATGAATGTAGTTTAGATAAAAATCTGAAAAGAAGTATATTGATTTCAGAATGGTCCTATAAAGGGAATAGAGCAGAGAAACAGAAACCAAATGTATGAAGGAAAAATAAATAAGTTGAGTCAAAGAGAAAGAAAAAAATTGAGAAATATTTGCTAGTTGAAACTTATGGGATTCTGAAAGAGAGGTAGGAAGTTTAAATATGAAAAGACAGTATATGAATCAATAAATGGATGTGATGGAACTAAGTATATATTGCAAAGATAGAATGACATGGGAAAAATATAACTGATGTTATGCAGATTAGATTTTACCCTCCTTTTCCTTATATTCTACCTTTATTCCGTGCCTTAAAAGCACATATTTAACTTCCTTGACTATTCCTACTCTTTTTCAGCATTTTACAAAGTGTTGATTACTCCAATAATAAGCATGACAGATGTGTCTTCCTGTATATAGTAACTACAGAGAGTATAAGCTGACTCAGTTTCGTCTCTTCTGGAGGACTTCATTTGCTTCCCAAGGAGTAGTGTAGCTATCCTAATGCTGGAGACAGAGGTTAGTCACAGTAGAAAAGCCACATTTTGGAGCACATTGTCATTTCACCTGTAACTTTTACATTTACAAACTTACATTTTCCTACTCTATCCTCTGCAGCAACAGGAGTATGAACGTGTATAGAACTAAAAGTACATTGATGTAAGTCATGGAGGGGAATAGGTAAAAACACACAAACAAACAAACAAAAAGTCCAGTTGCTCAGGATTGAATTGCGCAACATAAACTTGTTTGGATTTGTCCCTTGAACTCTGCTTAGAGAATATTCAGGACATTCAGAGTTAAAGAGAATCCAAGAATATGGATTAATACAGCTAATACAGTTTAATTTGTTCTAATTAAACATCAATCTTGCTTTGACCTTTGTAGTGATCTCAGTACTAAGAAGTACCTCATCCAATTTCCATTTTGGGAAGTATCAGACTAATTAAATTGACTGTTTTATGAACGAAGCAGCTGAATTTTCCCATACAAACAGATGAGCTGAATTTTGTTATACAGAACTGCAGCATCAGTGCTCTTGCTCATAAATTGAGTAGTCCAAGGACAATGAAATCATTGCCCTTGTGACACCAGCATGCTCCAAGTTCCACTTCTCTGCTCTTGCTTGCTACTAGCATTCTTGACAAATTAAGATGTAATCTTCTATCTTGCGACTCAGCATGTATCCTCAAAGTTTGTTCTACTCCCTGAGATTTTAAAGGCAGGAAGACAATCAGAAAGGCAGGCATGTGTATGTGTATCAGGTTTAATTCATTCTAGCAGAGACACTGAACCTTGTGTGAACAGACCTTTTATGGCTGTGAAAAAGAAAGAAAGAAGGAGAAGAGTATACTTTAGGAATGGGAACTTCTGTTAATCCAGATATTAGTGAAGAATTTTCAGAGAGTTAGCTAACACAACGTGATAGGAGTACCAAAGAACTATAGTTCAGCCATTTATAGAGAGCTAATTTCTTTGCCATTGATCTATAAAGAAAAGGAACTCCCATATACTTACTTACCTTTTCAACAAAAAAGAACTATTCTGGAAAATATTTATGATTTTACAGCTCTTGGTATACAAATCTTAATTATTTGTTCATTTAGCATTTTTGAAGTGGCTCAAAACAAGGCAGCTTATGACATATAAAACTTAATATGGATTAGGGTCTTCCTAATTGAAAAAGCTTTCATTAGTAAATACCTACAACACAAACTACCTGATCTACAAATAGTAGATAAGGGCTTTTTATCTATACTTTCAATGAAATATGTCGATTTTCTAAAGCCCCTGACCAGAAGATGGCAACAATGGTATATGCAGCTTAAAATATTGTCACCAATAGGATGACTCAATCCAATCACAGCATCATAACATTTCTGCCACTGCATACTTGCATCCAGCCGTCTCACACAACTATGTAATTTGCATCATTTGCATGATATGATTGTCATACATTTGTCATTATCTGCCCCCTTATCTCTTCTGTGGACAGCATCAGTGAGCAAGAAACTAAACCACATTTAGCACCTAAGTCATCTTTAAAAACCTTAAAATCATAATAGTTAAATGCTGGTGGTACAGTTCTTGGCAATTTTGAAATGGAAAACAGATGAAAACTATAGTCTAGCCACTAGAATCAAAAAGATACTTTGCAAATTGCATACTATGATCCTGCTCCAGTGTGGGGAAAAAAACATTTACCAGAACTACCTACAAAGACTTCATTTGCTTATTAAAAACATTTATTCTTCACTAAGCTTCTACAGACTTTTAGCTGGTTCATAGCAAACAATAATTATCTTTTTAATTCTAGAAAGATGTTAACAATATAATAAGCTGCATTTCCTGATACCCCTAAATTATTTTAGGCTTGTGACACATTCAAAGATTGCCACCAAATTTTAATTCTTACAATGCCCAAGAAATTAACATAATTGTAACAGAAGAATAATTAATCTATTTGCTATACCAATTTATTCTATTGGTTCAGTCTCTTGCTTCTAGCTTCACCTGTTTTGGGAGTAGTCTTTGGGATGTAATTCATATAGTTCTTGTTCAGGTACCCCTGCCCTACAGGCAGCAACTTTACTGTGTAAAAGTAACTGAGTGAATCAGCTCTTATGTTAAAACAGTGTGTTAACTTTACCCATTAGACAGATTAAGCAGCCAGACAAAAACCAATTTAGAGCTACTACAAATCAACTTTACACGATTGTTTTTTCAAGTATCTTCCTCCACCATCACCATTTTCTGTTTCAAGTAAGATCTGCAAGCCTACAATTGCTCCACATTATGCAGCCTTGAGGCGTTTGTATAGTACAGGTACTGGAGTCATAAAAAAAAGTGGAGGGAAATGCTGGAGTTCCTGTTCTCACTGCTGACCTACATATTATAACTTAATTGCAAACTTCATTTTCTGATGTGTGCCAGGAGAGAGAACCTGGTGCTGACATGCTGTGTTGATTCGTTTAAAAGGGAATTGTTACTGAATGTTCCTGTCACCAACAAGACATCGTTCATAGGAAGATGTTCATCTCTGGGGAGAGTTCCGTGTATAAATTATTGAAAGAGCATAAAAAGAAAGAGATGAAATTTAATAAATGAAGGCATCTGACTTACGAGTGCAGGGCATGGAAGCAGCATCATTTTCTGCTCGGAAAAAGCCTGGATCACAGGTGCAAGAAGTAGAACCTTCCCAGATGGAGAAACTATGGGGTGGGCACTTGGCACAGGCAACATCTGTTGAGAAGGCTTTGTGGTATCCAATCTTGCATGCTTAGAGAGAGGAAAGGGAAAAGAAAGATTAGTTGGATAATAAATGGTTCTTTCATTTATTCATATGAGGATCCATGGACATTTTCAAAAGGAAATGAATAATTACCACTCAACCAGCCAAGTAATGAACTAGTTATCATGTTCTTGATTGCAAGCTGCTCAACTGGGAGATACAATTTTAAATCCAATGAAAGCCTTTTTAACAAGCAGGCTTACAATTACACCTATAATCTTATATGTGTAGAAATCTGGTTGAGGAAAAAAATCTCATTTATTTCCTGCCCACAAATGTGTATTTGAAGCAACTAATTGAGCAGAAATTAAAGATAGAAAAGTATTCAACACTAAAAGCCATTCAAAACAGAGAAAGCTACCTGGAAGGCTTTTATAAATGGCAAAGATCAAAAGAAGAGTGGATGTTTGCCAATATTTATAGCTCACTTTAGTGTTTATAACTTTACCATATGGTCCAGGTATAATGACCTTTTTCAATCAAAGGCATATCTTGAATTTGACTTGAATGTGAAAGACAGACTAGGAAATGGCTGTCATGAAAGAGTTGTCATGCACAAAACAATGAGTAAGTCAGTACATCCCATTTCATTTCATATCCAAGAACACAGAAAAACATAAAATGTCTCATGTTGAACATGAATTGTTTCCAATAGTGGACAACTAAATGTATCTGAGAAATGCACTTATAAGGCAAAAGAAAGTTGCATACACAATCAAAATGGCTCATATCATGGACATAACCTATAGAAAACATAAGATGTAGACATGATAGAGTAAACATTGTGAAATTAAATAGAAAATGCTATCCATCATGGAATTCAAATTTATATCAAATCTACCTGGCCACATCCAATGATTACAGTATTTTTATGTGCCTAATAATTCTCTTGGAAAACAAAATTTATTGCTGTATTTTCCCCCATAATTATTATATATTATTATATATTTTTACAGAACTGATTTTTTCAAATTTTTATATAGTGCAGCTGTTATTGCTTTTTTTACAGAAATGTAGCTGAAGTTACAGCATATATTAAAATTCTAGTAGTCATATATTCAGTCCAAAATGTATTTTCTACATTTGAATATTGTGGTTTTGAAGTCTGCAGCATGACATTTCCATATAGGCAGTTTGATTCTCAAATTAAACAAAATGACAGAAACCAAAGACGAAATCTGGAAGGAAAAATTTAAGGATGGAAACACTAGCAATCTGAGACCCATTTACTAACTTCTTGCTCTTTCCTCAAAACATCTTCCTTGCGCTTAATATGCTTGAAAAGGTCTGAGTAAAAATAGTGCGAGGAATGTATCCATTTTCACATCCGAGCTGAAATGTGCTTTTTTCTGCTTCTCTCATACTATGATACATGCAGATCATGTTAATCCAAAAAAGAAAAATGGAACAAAGCCATTTTTAACAGAATGTACATTTTACCAAACGTAGGTTTTTCATGCACATTATAGATTAATTTAAGCAGAAACACATTCACGCTCATCTGTGACAAGAGCCCTTAAGTCACTTTGGAGCTTTGCCTGCTGTATTTCAGTCCAAGTGTTTTGAAAGGGCTGGGTCCAGCATTATTATTTTTTCTGGCTCAATAGAATTCACATACCTATTCTTTGGAAAGCATTTGCTTTTTCCTATATATTAATCCCAGTTCATTAATTTTTTAGAACCCAAGAAAGCTCACTTAAACTCTCTCTCTCTCTCTCCCTCCCTCCCTCCCTCCGTCTCTCTCTTTCTATCTCTCATGCAGCAGTTTTATTTCAGCTGTAGAAAATCACAAAACCAAATGCACAATATCTTCATTTTCTTTATTCATGAATCCCAGTTCTTGGCATTTTAGTCTATTTGCTAATCCACTACATTAATTCAACGTTTCTTTACATCTTAACAGACTTTTATACCACAATTTAATCTTATTCTTTGAAAGTCCCCCCCCCTTCTCTTTTTTTGACAGAAAAACAGCTAAGGCCTTTCAAATGAAACAAACTTAAGATATTATACAGTATTTTTGCATGTTAACAAAGTGATAAAAAAGCAAAGCTGCATAGATCCCAATTTCCTGAAATCTTTATTGAACGTTCAAGACAATTCTTCATTCTTTTCTTTTTCTTGGGAGGATTTTCTGGAGAAGACAGTGTGTGAATGGCATCCTTACATGGCTCACAGAAAGATGTATTCTTATACGGATTGCAAAAGATGCCATTGTAAAAAGATTAGGTCACATGAGCAATGCAAACTTTGAATTCAATTCCCTTAGCTTTGCCTTAATTAGTTCTTTCTGTTTGAAAGACACAGAGAGTGAACGGGGCCAAGGGGAAACAATTTTTTATTCAGATCACACACTGACATGACAAGGTTATTGTGGAAATATAATTGTCTTCAGGATTTCATAATGGGACTACTGAATCAGAGAAAAACAAAACCCTAACACCTGTGCAGACTCCCTAATCTCTTCCAGCATATAATTTTATTACACAGAGATTTTTTTTCCCAATAAAACAATTAATGCACTTTACTCTAGGCTACACTGTAGGGCAGTTGTTGGAATTCTGTTGCCTCTTGGGGGAGTCACACATCAACATAATGGCTTCTGTTCAAATATAGTTATACAGATTGATGCTGTGTGACAATATGGGTCTCTTCAGCCAAAGTAGAATATTGGAATTTTATAAGAATATACTTTCCCAATGACTCTAACAAAGTAAGCTATGGCATTTGAACATTGGGATATATCATCACACAGGGATTAAACAGTCATAAAAACAATAGTACACAATTAAAGCAAAGTAATTAAAAAAACAAATGTTACAGAGAATTTGTAGCTGGAGAAGGCTAGCATTAAAAATATCTTTTTAAAAGAGATCTCAAATATAACAGCATTTAAAAGATGACTGTCACTATTGCCTGATTGAAACTGATATATTATAAAGGAAAATGTATTTACATGAAGATATAGACAGGTACTATACATATTTTTGGTGAGCTCTGATGCCTGTTTGATAAAAATGACATGAAGGGAGATTCAGAAAGATCTGAAAATGCCATGCACGATATGAATAACTGTTAAAAATAATATATATTTGCAAATGAGAAAAAAAATATCAAGTTACCTACTTGCTCTCAATTGTCTGAAGGCAAAAATGACATCATCATCATCATCATCATCATCATCATCATCATCATTATTATTATACAATTGTATCACAGCGGCCAGTTGTTTTGCCGGATTTGGCATTGGTTACTAGTCGGACCCCACCCAAGGGCGTAGGACGTCGTAACGTATTTTCGTAATATGCATGCAGATCCAAGCAGTGCGGCTTTTTGCATTTGACTGATGGTGATTTTGTCAACTTTTAATTGTTTTAAAAGTAATTCCACTGCTTTTGGAATAGCACCAAGTGTGCCAATTACCACTGGAATTACCACTGCTGGTTTGTGCCATAGTCGTTGAATTTCGATTTTTAAGTCCTGGTATTTTGCGATTTTTTCATGTTCCTTCTCGACCCTGCTATCACCTGGTATTGCGATGTCTATGATTGTGACCTTATTTTTCTCAACCAGTGTGATGTCTGGTGTATTATGCACCAGTATTTTGTCCATTTCTATACGGAAGTCCCATCTGATTTTCGGTGACTTTTTTAGGCTGATGTTCCCACCAGTTTGTTGCTGTTTTAATATTATAATTTTTGCACAAATTCCAATGGATCATTTGTGCTACTGAATTGTGCCGCAATTTATTATTGTTGTTGTTGTTGTTGTTGTTGTTGTTGTAAATCTTTGGTGAGATTCACAGCCTTTGGGGCTGGTTGGTAGCTCATCAGCTTGAGTCCTAACCAAGGACCTAGGAACTATTAAGGTAACATCAGAGGATATAAGCTGTTCCAAGCAGGGTGCTTTTTGTAGAGTCAGAATGTTTAAGTCCGATAAATTTAGAATTTCCAAATAGCTAGGTAGCCCTAGGTATTGCTCCAAGGGCTCCAATTACAATTGGGACAGCACACAATTTCTTTTTCCACAGTTGCTCAACTTCAGTTTGCAAGTCCCTGTACTTTGTGATTTTTTTCTTGCTGTTTACCTTCAATTTGCACATCACTATTATTACCATTTTAACGACCAAAATCTATTTGGCACTGTGTTGCTGAATTTTAGTTTGATCATCTTTTTTTTTTACAATATCAATAGTACCTCTTTTTTCTTCCCTTTTTTGACAGATTCTCAAATTATAACAAACTCACATCTGCCACCCCCACAAGCTGACAGCTTCTTCTTACTTCAGGGGATTTTTTTTTTGGCTCTCAACAAATTTACTGGGTGTTAATTATACAACTCAATTATTTGTTTCACTGCACCATGACCTCTCTCAGCAAATATACAGCAATTTTGAATCCAAAAATTGATCAGAGGTTTGTTTTTTTTGACAAGCCATCTCAGGCCAGGCTCTTTTGACCTAAAGCCACTAATCTCTACCTCAAACAAAATTACAGGATTTTCTTTCACTATCCTTCATCTCATCTTGAATTCCATGACTTTTATTTCCTAGTTCACTGGTAGCATACAGATAATTTGGGAACATATTTTAATTTAACTTAAACTTTTGTCATGATTTTTAACAGGGAAAAATGATGCATCATAGGAAAACAAAGGACCTCACATGAACTATCTTATTGAAGGAATCCAGAATCCAGGACTCATGATTCCTGAAGGAATGACATTTGAAAAAGCTGTGATTCTTCAGTGCTACTGGCTTCTGCTGTGCTGATTTTCAACATTCCCTGATAGTTTCCCAAACAATTTCCTAATCCCTCACTCCTTCCCCCACACCGCAGCAGCTATTTATCTGGAGGAAGGAAAAAGAAAAGAAGGGAAAGTAAAGAGAAAGGAACATGGAAGAAGAAACTTGCACACATTTTTTCTGACTCATGCTGTCCTCACACACAGTCCCCTAACATGTTCTGCTCCCCTATGCACCCTACCT